GTAAGCATATTATTGCAAATCAAAGTTTAATTTAAAACTTTTGATTTAAAGTTTGTGATATTCTTAAAGTATAATATATAATATACGTAATAATTAGTCCATGACCCATGTACAAGCACATCACAATTTCTAGTCCACTCTATTGTATATGCATACTGATACATACTATCTCCAGACATTAAACAATGACATATTTGTTATCTGATTCAAAAACAATCAATATATGTATATACATATGCTTGTATATAAGTTTGTATATATATATATACAACTTTTAATTCTTAAGTAAGTAATATGCTAATATTCTGATTTTAAATAGAACAATTAAAGAAAATTCTATATAATTTAGAATAGATATGTATATATAATTTATATAATAAAACAAAGGTTTTTTTATTATTAATAAATTTCAAATATACACGAAATCTGATTGGCTATTAGGTGAGAGGTGGGGGTAGATTTCAACGGGTTACTAGTAAAAATAAATTAGCTGATTTCTGGAAACCTCTTGATAGGAAAGACCATTCTCTTGATAGTTATATGTAGTATTCAACTGGTAATGATAATTGTAGTGATAATGATTACAATCTTTAATGTATAGTTAGAAAAAATTATTATTTGAATGTTATATTGTTGTTCTGGCAATATTTTTATAAATAAAGAAGGAGGGTTCTGTAGCCTTCCTATATTTTATTATTACGTGATTTTTGCAATACAATTTGCAATTATTAATTGATAGAAATAATAGAGTTTTCTTATTAACTTATGCTTTTACAATTACTATTTGGATTGAATTCTGATATTTATTCTCCAACATGTAAGATAATATGTTTTTGTATTGACATAATTGCCACTCTCCCATAAACCCTCTATATTATTTCTTATATTTTCTTTTTTATAATCTTTATTGCATATAGGACAAAGTACAGATTTATTAAAATCAAAATAATTACTATATTTAAAACTATGTTTTAAAGTTAAATAAGAAAATTGTTTTAATACTATTTTAATAACATGTTTTTGTTTTTCTTTCAGGTTTTTAGATAAAATAAAAATTGATAATTGAAGTTTGGATAGTGTAGGCTGAACATTTATCTGTAGTACAAATAATATCTTTTTTTGGCATCCTTTTTGATTTGTGGGGTTTGGGAGTTTTAGAGTTTATCTAGAGATTGAGCCTAGTTTCTTTCGTATATGCTTTATATAAGCTCAAATGAATTTTATCTGTCAAATGACTCAGTAAGCCAACCAATTTAGCATGCCAGTTTAAATATTTAGAAATTAAGGCATGAAGTGTCATTTCTCCAAAATAGGCTTTATCCATGTTATTGTTTTATATGATTGCAAATTCAAATTAAATATGAGTTGCCTATATATATTCTAAAATAATAATTAAAAAAAATAAATATAGCTAATTAGTTTACAATCATTTGAAACAAAAGAATATATCTAAATGACTTTATGACTTATGCTTTTATCTTAATTTCATGCTATCTACATTTAATAAAATAAGATCTGGCTTTATATCTATCTCTTAATCCTTATGACTTAATCTACATGCTGGATATAACATAACAACTTATCAATAATTTCATAATAATCGAATTTTTTACTACTAAATTCTTTATATATATCAGAATATTAATCTAATATTTTATTATAAAAATAATCACGATTATAAGCAATAGGTGGTATACTAACATTGGCTTTCGTATCTAAAGATGATACACCTACCTTGGTTTTTAAATTTTTTTTTCAAATCTTAATCGTTTTTTTGGAATAGTTCAGTTACGCATATATGAAAATTCTTCATGCCAATTACTTTTTGACATTCAGTTTGAAAATCAACAATAGAATTATCTTGCTTATTAATTAATTCTATATTAGGTTTCTTAGAAAAAAGATTTATTATATTTTGAATTTGAACACCTGTTAAACTAGAAATAGCATCAGCACTATATGTAACAAATATTCTCTTTTGATACTAGGAAGATATAGTTCCATTTCATTGTAAATCTGTGTTCTTGCTATTTGATTATTAATTTTATTTTCTGAGCTAATTTCTCTAACCTTTTTTTCAAATTCCTCACTATAATAATACCAATATAAAATTTCTTTATAATCAGCTTTTTTAGCCTTGTTGAATAAATAAGCTAAATATAATGCAAATTCTTAAATCTCATGAAGTGAGAATGCTTTCTTATCTAGATCATCTCCATTTAGCATATTTTTAATTGTACTGACTCTGCCAAGAATTAGTTTATCAGATATAGAATTTGAAAGGCTTTTTTTATTAGTAAATACAAATAACTTACATATTAAATCTTGTTTTACTTTTTGATTATAGGAAATTTTTATTTCAGAATAAATAACACTTTGCACCAATTAATAGGTACTTCTGAAATATTCTGGTTCTCATTTAGATTGATAGGCATTTGCTTAACAGAGAGTGTATTCTAAATAGAAAAGAGAGCCTTTTGAGCTCGAAGCTTCTTTTCTTTGTTTCTTTTTCTTATTTCTTTACTAATTATTTTCTTATTTGTTAAATACAAAAACTTGTCAATCTTTTTATCTTTTAATGATTTAGGTTCCATATAGGTAGGTTGACATGTGACAAAATTGTCATGAGTAGTCACAGAGTGGCTAGATGCATCAGATATATTTTCTACCTTTTCAGGATTATTGTCAAAATTTATTTTGGGAGAAATAGCACTTTGTGCCTGCTCAAGATTTACAGAATTTGTACTATTATCTTCATTAGAGTGAGTATTAATAGGTGATAGAATTAGCATTTGTGAAATTGTCAAAGATTGTGAAGCATTATTAGTAGTTCAATTTTGTTTTATAATTTGTTTTAGTTTTGTATTTTCGATTCTAAGATTAGCAATTTCTTCTATGATCTGTTTTAATTTAGTATTTTCTGCCTCAAGTTTGGCAACTCGCTGTTTTAATAATTCAAGCTCTGATGTTATATTCAATAATAATTTTTTATATAAGTCAGATTTATTTAAATTATCGAGTTGAAAAAATCATGTGTGCATGAAGATTCTTTACACCGATCACTTTCACCAAGAAAAATTCACAATCATATGTATACATTAATAACCATACAATATAATAAAATCCTGAAATATATATGCAAAAGTAAATTCATTTATATATGTGAAATCAAGCTATCAGGGCCACTTTATTAATAAATAAAATAAAATAATTTACAGGAAAATATACTGTACAATACATTATAGAAATTTACATATTTATAGATAAATTAGATATGACAAATTGTATGTATTTGCTAAAATTATTAAAAAATATATATATCTAAGAGTAAAATAAAAATTTGTTGGTTATCCAGGTCACACTATATGGAGGTCAATAATCGAGTGACCCGTGTACCACACTTTGGTGAATTTGAAATTAAAGAGCATAGAGGAAGGTATATGGACAAGAAACTTAGAATGTATTCTTTTACTGTTAGAATATTTATAGACAAAAATGGGCATAAACCTCACTTCGACTATTAATGGTTGCCTGAAGGAGGACCACTGTTTTGGCTATGTTGTAATACACTTCATGCAGACAAATATTAAAGTATTTTGCAGATCAGTATAGTATAGATAGGCAGATTAGTATAGTATAGGCCGATTTCTAAATCTATACTATACTGACTAGGTATTATATATATATGAGTGTTAATATAATTTTGCAGATCCGTATAGTATAATTTTATAAATTGGCCTGTACTATACCATACTGATCTGCTATAATTTCAAAATCTTATTACTTATATTTATCTATTGTGCTAAAATTGCATGACGTAAATTTCGCTAATCCGAGAAAATAAGACATATATAGCAAATGCAATTTTATTTTTTAGCCTAAAATGGCTTTTTTGATACAAACATAAAATATATAAATGACTTGTCAAGTTTTGGCTTTGCCAGCTCTGCCAAAGAAATATAAAAGTTTATTATGCTTAACTATTAAGTCATATATATAACACGGTATCACTAAGGAACAAGAAATTTCATTTTTTGGAACAACCTATATCAAAATTAAAGTTTGATTATTGTTTGTAGGAACCTAGCATGTTACGGATCTGTAGAGAGTCTGGGATACTATGCATATATTGAATTTGTAGAGACGATGTGAATGGACCCCTTCGACATTTATAATCTTTTGCAAGTTCACATACATGTCTCTGTGAATGCAAATATTTATTATAAAATTTAAATAAAAATATATAAACAAAATATGACATATCTCTAAGGCCACAAAATGAGCAAAGTTTGATTTGATCAAAGGCAAACTGGGTTTATCAATTGCCAATTTTGTTGTGAGAAAAGGCCAAGACTGATATAGCCTATCAAATTAGAGGTTTATAAAATACATTTGTACAATATCACCTGTAATTTCTGATAAATGATTTAGTAAATAAAGATAACAATTTGACTGTCCCGTATAAAAAAACAAACTATGATTGAGAAGCATTGCTGTTTCTCCTGGGTCACTTTTCAAGGTCAATTGCTGATTGATTGTCTTTCTTGTCCATAAATGAACTTTTGAAAAATCTTTTTTTTTGTTTAAAGGACGGCTCCCTATTGGCTTAATTTCAGAATTTAATAAAGGTACATTATCCACAATGTATGAAAGGTCAGGTCTGCACTTCGTAATTATTGTTTTTCTTTAGAAAAATCAGACTTATGTAAGAATTCAAAAATATACAGCAATGTTCATCCGCGGAAGTTCTTTGCGGTGCAAGTTCAGGTAAATTCTCTCGCCTAAATGTGTGTTAATAAATTTCATTAAGCAAGTCAATCAAAACAAAATATATATATTAACCTACAACTCATTGAAGGTTCATGCGACTACTCTGCTCAATGGAGTTTTGTTTGCATGCATATAACTGTCCCGACCTAACAAATGATTGATCACGGCTTCATGTAAGGCAGTTGATACCAAAGATGACATCACTGGCTTATGGATTGTATATTTGTTTGTTTGAGTTATCGACTGCCACTCTTCTTCAGTAAAATTTGAATAAGGATAGTTTCGGCTAAGCACAATTATGGATGAGAGTGCTCTAAAGTGCAATGTGAAATGATATTTATATATGAGCACACTTACAAGACGAAAAGGAAGTAAACTTGATATTTGATTTGTCTATCAATCGCAACTATTATAGGTGCTGTTGCTTACAAGATTTTATATGTATTATACCAGATTAATCTAATTGTCTTAAGTGTTTCAAGAGCCTCTTGCTGATATTCACAGAATTTTTATATAACATTAATACCATGCACTTTCCACTGATTCACAAAAACAAATAGTAAAAAATGTGATCAAACAATTGCAAAACAAATAATAAATCAAAAATTAATCAAATACTTTATTTATTGGTTCTTGTTGCAAACTCTTAACAACTGAATCGAAATCAAATTCAAGGCTTTCATTGTTTTCTAACACATCTTCATAGTCATCTACTATTTCGATCTCATCTACATGGTTATCTGTTGTTTCGATCCTATTATTATGATTATCCAGTGTTTCGATCTCATTGACATTGTTATCTGCTATTGTAACTTTTAACCATTTTTGGTTTCACTTAGTCTAATCACTCTAATAATTAAATTTATAATTCATTCGGAACAAATCATAAAACAATTGATTCTAACTAAAATGCATATCGGTACCTCTTTTTGATGCTCTTGACTTCTTTTTGCTAAATCTATCCTTGCATTGAAAGCTCCAACTATTGAATCAACTATAGAATTGCCACTGATTGTCACTTTAGGATTGTTAAGGCGAACCGAAAACCCAGGCTTATGTGTTATTTCCTATTGTCTTGCCATTTTATAATCGGGTTGGATACCCTAGCATGAAATATTTGAGGGCTTAATAATATTTTTGACTAATAATCAAATCTCACATCTGGTTTTCTACCCTATTCAAGCATTAGCCAAATTTAAAGATTGCCTGTGCCCTAATAGGTCCAGTGTTGGCTCGACTTAAGGACTTAAGCATCAGGAAAACTTCAAGATTACCTGTACTGGCTCGACTTAAAGACTTGAAATATCAGGCAAACTTAAAGATCACCTGTGTCCCAACACTGGTTTTGTAGCTCAACTTAAAGACTTGAATGACAGAAAAACTTAAAGATTCCTGCATGCCACTTACTCCCAACCTACATTTCCAATAAAAAAGATTTTACTTGCCTTTTT